TTTCCTCAAAGGTATTTTGAATCTGAAAAGAGCTTCACTGAGTGAGAAGTAGTGGAGCTCAGCAGACAGTTTAAGTTTCACTTTCACTTACACTCGCTTGCTTTGTTACTGCTGAGAGCCTGCAGGAGTCATGGGCGGGGGTGCGTGGGGTGTGGGGTGGGGAGGTGTGCTCCGTGATGCAAGTAGGGGTCTCTGCGGACGAGTGGGCGTGTCCCTACGAAAGGCAATTCTAAAGTGACACACCTGATTTGACGGACTTTTTTAAAGGGACACACCTGACTGGACAAGCAAAATAAGGGCGTTACTGTATGGCACCACTTTTTCTGGAGACCCCTACTTGGGTCACATTTCTCCTGGTTAACCTTAGTGTTGGAGTCAGGGTCAGCTTGTGTAGAGGTCAAGCCGGGTCTAAGGATACCGTCATGTAGGCCTCGTAGCCCACAGTGTTTATGCTTTAGACACGCCCACTTTTGTGACACACCCACTTTGATTCCACAGATAACCCCTTCTCCCGTGATGAGGAGGTTCAGCGTAACGACACGTCCCAGGGGCGTTTCTGGTCCCAAAAGTTGTTTCTGGTCCCCACCTGTTGTTTTGCTCCTCAGCATGGCTTCGTAAAATCGCTGCAGGATTTCTCAAACATGCATGAATGAGTCAAAGCAAGGCTTTGGGCATGTTTTTAATGAGAGTATAACATTATAACATGACATAAAACTCAAAAAAGTTGATTTTACATGTTATTACCCCTTTAAATACTAAACTAAACAAAAGTAAACTAAACTGAACCAAACTAAACTTATGAATACTAATGGCACAGTCTGACACTTGTAATGATATGTTGTTGAAGCTCAAGCTGCTTCTGTTCATGTTTTAATTTGTCAGCCTCTCACCCTGCTGTCGTTTTCTCTTCCCAGACTCCATGTGTTTTCCACAGTGCTGCGCGGTCTGCTGTGACAGAGCAGGGGGATGATGTGGCTGTGCTGAACGGCTGCCAGGAAGAACACAGGCCCGGCAGTGCCAAGGTGCTCTACACATGCGTGAACACAGTCACCAACACTGCACTTGTTGAGCACCCCTTGAAGCTTTTCCCACTTACGTTGCAGTACTTGAAGTTGTGTTTTTTAAGTCAGGAAAGTGGTTATGAGCAGTCAGCATTTTAGTTGCAGCAGACAGTAGCCAGAATGATGTCAGTTTGGAAAATGGACGCAAAACTCTCATGGGAGTCGGTCAAACATCTACTCAAATCCGTCACCCCTTTTAGTGCAGATTTCTGTCGTTTGAAACTTGCAACAGTCCAAGTAGTTTGAACCAACGTGTTTGACAATATCATTGCACCTTGTTATATTTTGCATGAGTTATTTAAGTTGTCATGTTTTAAAAAGACAAAAATCCTTTGTGTTTTTTATGCTAGCTGTGACTACAGAGGATGCTAATCAGTGTGCATTGCCAATGCACACTGATTAGCATCCTCTGTAGTCACTATTGTGATTCGTTTCCCATCCAAGTCATCTCAACTTTGCCATGCTTCTCCTCCTGCATACTTTGTCCTAGAGCTGCCATTGTAATTTATATCCGTAAAGCCCCTGTGCCAAATGATGGCTATGCCTTTTGGTGCCTGTACAACTTATAGTTTCTGAAATATTAATGTTTAATATATTATAATGTCAGTCAATGGAGCCTTGTGTTGGTCCAATACTGCCCCCTGCTGCCTCTACACAAAATGGTACTGCACCATAGTTTCATAATATTTAAACTCAGTAGTTTAGTGATTACATTATTAATATGATTGTATTTTGCTGTTTTACTGTAATACTGTCTTTATGTTGTCCTATTGCTGTAATATATTGC